TCAAATTTCTTCTACAGCCTCTCAAAAGCTGTTAATAACATAAATGCTCTAGCATTCAACACATTTGCAACATCAAAACACTGTACTACAAGGGTACAAGCGCTTGAAGCAGCTCAATCTTGGAAGGTACAATGCTGGGAAGCAGCTGCATTGTGGCTGTGTTGGTTTTGGGCTGGTTTTGTGAGGTGGGCTCGGCAATGGCTAACCACACTCTCCATGGACAGCACCCAAGCCCTGAGCTTGTGGCTCAGCATGTTCTCAGGCAAGGCCAGATTTGTCATTTTACCCCTTCATTTATTTTTTTTTTATTTTTTTTTTCATTTTTTGTTCTGTTTTGTTTTGTATCAACTGTTTTTTTGTTTGGTTTGCAGTTTTAAACATCAGGGTTCTTGGAAAAAAATTGACTTGTGATGAAAAATTTGGAGGATTGTGGATAAGTAGGCAGAAGGCCATCCAAAAATTTGATATTTTTTCAGTTTTAGGACAAATTTAAAGTCTTGAAAGGTCATTAATTGAAAATGTTTTTAAGTTTTCTGCATTGGTGTTTTCTTAACTTTTTTAAGTCCCCCTATCATTTTTTCATATTTGTACTGCTTTTTTTAACAACTCCAGCTTCGAACTTCAGGTTCATGGAAAAAATTGTCTTGTGGTGAAAATTTTGAAGCATTGTGGATAAATAGGAAGAGGGCCATCTAAAAATTTGATTTTTTTTTTCAATTTTAGGACATAAATTTCAAGTCGTGAAGGCCATTAATTGAAAAAGATTTAAGTTTTTCACTTTTTCTTCAGTGCAAGGGTTTAACTTCTTTTTTCCCCCCTCCATTTTTCCTAACAAAATGTCAAAGATTCTGTATCAACCCCAGGAAATTCTTTCAAATAATGTCAGGCTAACAAAATGGCCTCTAAAAGTTGTTCATTTTACTCTGTTGCCCCTAGATTGTTTTTGTTTTAAGTAGCCTTAGCCATGTAATGTTGGTCTAGCCATCGACATGTAATAGCATATTTAAATTTTGATATCAAGTATAAAAAATAAAATATTATCTTTTTCTTAGTCTAAAGTCTAAACTTTTCAACAAGATAGAAACAAAACTAAACATTCAAGTTTTAATTTTTATGTCAGCAATTAATTTGTCTTTTATTTCACTTGTTGCAAGTGAATTTTCATTTTGTTGTGTTGTGTTGTGGTTTGTTATGTTCTGTTTTTCCACTAAACTGTATTATTAATTTATTATGCTTCCAATGGCAGGCCTTCTTTCAGACATGTTTTTGCAAAGGCAATATAATTTTCTTCGTTATTTAGAAAAGCTGACAAAACCCTTATTGAGCTTTGTGCTGCATATATATTTAGTTATTTAGCCTCCTTTCATGTGAAAATAAATAAATAAATAAATAAATCCTTCTTTTGCTTTTTCTGCCCATATATTTATTTATATTCACATTTGTTGTGCTTTAAATCTGCATTTTTCACTCCCTTTAGACCACCCTACACATTACACACATCACTCCCCCTTTTTTCCGGTTGACCGTTTGTGGTATCCAATGTTTTTGTACTCTCTTTCCATATCCTCATTTTCTCCAAAAGGAACTGTACAAAAAAACAAAAATCAAGAAAATCAATATTGCAAATCTACATAATTTCTTTTTACAATTGTGTATACTTTCTGAGAAAATAACCAAATATGGTACTTTAGAAAATATTGAAGTATGGTGTTTGATAATATTATTGTATAAGCATGCATTTTTGTTACTTTCATTAGAAAATATGATACTCTAGACTAGACTAGAAAACATCGTAACCAGGAGTATGATGTTTAATAATATAACTGAATAAGTATGCATTCTTGTTCATATGATGTTTGATAATATAACTGTATAAGTATGCATTCTTGTTCATATAGTATGACACCTAATAGTTATGCCGTCTCATACAAAAATTTTGTGAATTTCTTTCGAACAAACTTACCAAAATCTCAATTCAACCCCACAAATTTCGAATAATTACAAAAATAAAAAAAAATAAAAAATTTGCAGGCAAGCTGACGCCTCGATGTCGAGGCGTCGGTCGATGCTCTCCGACCCCTCCTCCTCCTGCCTCACCGGCAACCCCATCGACGACTGCTGGCGCTGTGACCCGAACTGGCAGCTCGACCGCCAGCGCCTCGCCGACTGCGCAATCGGCTTCGGCCAGTACGCGCTCGGCGGCAAAGGCGGCCGCTACTACGTCGTGACCGACTCCTCCGACCTCGACGCCGTCAACCCCAAACCGGGCACCCTCCGCCACGCGGTCATCCAGTCGGAGCCCCTCTGGATCGTCTTCGCCGCCAACATGCTCATCCAACTCAAGGAGGAGCTCATCCTCAACTCCTACAAGACCATCGACGGCCGCGGGGCCCACGTCCACATTACCGGCGGCGGCTGCATCACCGTGCAATACGTGAGCAACGTCATCATCCACAACGTGCACGTCCACCATTGCTACTCGACGGGCGACACGAACGTCCGGTCGAGCCCCACGCACTTCGGCTATCGGTCGAAGTCGGACGGCGACGGGATCTCCGTGTTCGGGTCGCGAGACGTGTGGATCGACCACTGCACGCTCTCGCACTGCAAGGACGGGCTAGTCGACATCGTGATGGGGTCCACGGGGATCACGGTTTCCAACAACTTGTTCTCGCACCACAACGAGGTGATGCTACTCGGGCATAGCGACGACTACTTGCCGGATTCCGGCATGCAAGTCACCATCGCTTTCAACCATTTCGGAAAGAAGTTGATACAGAGGATGCCGAGGTGTAGGAGGGGTTACATACACGTCGTCAACAACGATTTTACGCAGTGGGAAATGTACGCGATCGGAGGAAGCGGAAATCCGACCATTAATAGCCAGGGGAATCGCTACATTGCGCCGTACGACCGAAACGCGAAGGAGGTACGACAGTTTTTTTATCCTTGTTTTCGAATTTAATGCAAGTATCGAGAAATGAGGAATTACAACTTCTACGATAAATGGGGGAAAACGAAACAACTTCTTCTACCAATTCAATTCAATCATGTTTTTTTTGAGTCACCCGTTCAATCGGGATAAGAAACCCGAATCGAAACTATAGTTCAGAAGCTCGGCATATAGTTGTTGTTGCCCAAAATTTGAAAATCCAACGGCCTATACTCATTTATCGATCGTCGAAACCTGTGCTCATGAGTCATGCCTCAATTTTGAAAAATAATGGCATTGTGCTTAAATTACTATAGAAATAAAGTTTGTGATTTATTTTGCAATTTTGACTTTAAAATATCACCTTGGACCGATTTTGACCGTTAGAGGCTACACGTGCAGGTGACGAAGAGGGTCGAAACATCGGAGGACCAATGGAGGGATTGGAATTGGAGGAGCGAAGGCGATGTGATGGTTAATGGAGCCTACTTTGTGGCTTCTGGTCAAGGTGTTGAGGTCAAGTACGAAAAGGCTTATAGCGTCGAGCCCAAATCCGCCGCGTATATTGACCAAATTACCCTCAATGCCGGCGTTCTCGGCAGCAGGTTAGGCCTAAACCCCATCTTAAATTGTACAACTAATTTATTGATAATAAAAGATGAATATGTAACTTTTCTTTTTTAATTTTTTGGGTATGCAGGGGTAAGAATATGGGAAAATGGACATCGGGAAGTAACGGGTCGGGTGGGATTTCGGGTGTGGATTCGGGCATATTCGACGACTATGAAGACGATTATGCCGGGAGTTGGAGGATCTGCTCTCATGATTCGACTTTCTTGACTTTCCTAACAGTAGCCTCATTGTTGTTTTTGTTGAAGCTGTGAGTTGGGACATGTTATCAGAAAATTGTGTTTTAATGTCCTTAATGTAGCTTGTTTAACTTTGGTCAGTTTTTACATCAGGAAAAAGATTGATGTAACTGGATTTTTGATTAATTTCAGGCGGAGGAAAAAAAAAAAAGGAAGTATTTCGGGTCAGGCTAAACAATTGGCCCATTGGGTGCCCTTTTGAAGCTAAGTCTTTGGGTACTTTCTCTTGTTTTTTAGTTCAGAAAAGGGTTTCAATCATGTGGAGCATTTCAATTTACTGGTGATTATAGTTTTTATCATAGATCAACACACGCCGTTATGTGTATGTTTGTTGAACCAACGGTAAAAAATTCAGTGACTGCAATGCAGTTGCTGGTAAAATCGTTTTTAACTATTTTTCAATTCTAACTTTTCAACCTTTTGAACCCTTTTCCAATTCTAAACAAGTAAATATTCATTTTCACTTTCTATTTTAGATATTAAGTCTTTTTTCTTATCTTCGTCTCTCAATCTTTTAATTAATTATAATGGTCTCTAGCTTATCTCGTCTACACTCAAAATCTCCGTAGCATCGCGTAGTGAACAATTAATCATGATGCGTTCCACACCTCAAAAAACATTCTATCAAACACAAATCGGTTTTCTACGTCATAAATTGGGTTATGTCGATCATAGTCACCTCATGCACCTCACTAGCTCGAGTACAATCAGGTCATTTGAGCGTAAATTGGGTTATGATCCTAACCAATTACCAATTTGGATGGCTACAATCCAACTAGGTTCAAGTATACATGTGAAATGGGGGTAATGAGATGAGCTATCCAAAGTTAGTACTCTTGTTTTTATTAGGACATGATTGTGTTGTTTTCTTACTATCAATAGAAAATAATGTGGCTGAGAATTGAGTTGATGATCCCCTGTTGCTTATAACTATTGGTCCACTTTTTAATTTTCACTCAACCCATTTATATAACCACTAAAACAGAAAAAAGGGTGAGACATATTTAATTGAAAATATCATTTTCTGCATATCTACTGGTTGTGAGGCTTGGACATTTTGTAGTGTTTTAGGGCATTAACCNAAAAAAAGAAAAAAAAAAGGCACAAATTACAAAGGGGAACTCATATTCTCTCAACTCAAGAATCATTCTCTTGACTGCTAGTCTGCTAGTTCAATTTTATTGTGCAATTACAAAGTGCCAACTGATTAGTTTTGTATGCCAAAAGGAGGACATTATCTTGTACTTTGTGATTACAATAGATAATCAACTGTCTCTATATCAGGATAACTCAATATATACACACTATTATTGTTACAATATAAGGCAGGGCCTAGTGTTGTCCTAATGTCCAGTTAATGTAAGCCATATAATTATTTCTATTTGACATGCAACAAAATACCAAATATGGTTATTGCCCAGTTATCTGACACAAAGATTGTTGTTAGGCAGGATCTACAATTATAAAATTATATTTTTTCAACTATGCATATCTTCAAATTAAATTGTCATACTCTAGAATTAATAAAAACTAATCAAAAGTATCATCACACTTTATAGGATAAACAAGTATTTTTGTTATAAAGAAATTATGACGGGTCAACCTATCTAATGGTTAGGCCTGCCCACGCAAAACTTTGTAAATTGCTTATTATTTGAAATAGGATCAGAGGGCATCATAACATAGGGCATTAATTAAGGTGTACTTAACTAATCCACTTTTGGGATCATATATACAAACAAATTTGCTCAAAATGATTGCAAATGTGTTGTCTAATTCTACTATTGATTACTAGAGTAGAAAAAGTATCAAATTCAATAAAAATTTAAATAGAAAAATATTCTAATGAAAATTCGTACAATTATTCCAATGTTATGACTTTTGTTGGGAAAATTTTAACATAGATCAACACTAAATCTTTGTGGAATTAATTTTTTCTTGAAATTTTTTAGTTGATATTTGATGATATCATCATCATTTCTTTAGCAGTTTATTGTTGTAGGATTACCCGTAGGAATATGCAAGTTCCGTTTAAATTGCTTTTGCCACAGCTAATTCCAATCATTGGAAAAACTGTTGTTGGAATTTTCAAAATCCAAAAGAATTTCCAAGAAAAAACAATTTCAACATTGCATTTCCATTTCAATTCCAACAAAAGTTATATCGTTGTAATTACTGTTGGAATTCGTCATTAGAATTTGATGTTTATCTAGCCAAATTGCTAAAATAGTAATTTGTAGTGAGAGATATGAAGAGAGAGAAGGAAAGACTGAAAAAAATCATCTATCTTCCAAAGCCATAAATCCACTCTTTTCATATTACAAATTTACTATACCTCAATGTGGGTACTTATTAACAAAGATACAAACCTCAACTAGGTACTCATGATATACATATATAATACCATAGGTTTGCAACTAATTAAGTCATATGATTAATATTGTAATCATAACTTCACCATACTTGCCACATTTTTTTTTTTTTACGCTGAACTTTACAACCCAATGCACTGTATATATGTTTCAAACTCCTTACAAACTATACATCAAATCAAAATCTCATCCCCATAGAGAAAAAACCCATGAACTATTATTAGCACTCCATTCTTCATATGTCCATTTCGAGTCGTAAAGCTCATCATTATAAGTTGGCATCCACTCGGCCAACCGGTTTTCATAAGGCGAGGCANCATTAATTAGTTACCTTTTTCAACAAGGCCTTTCTTCCTTAGGCGACTTCTCCAATAGTTCTTTATTTCGTTGTCTGTTCTTCCCGGCAATCTCCTTGCAATCATCGACCATCTTTTTCGAAAAAAATAATATAATTTATAAACTAATAATTCAAAATTTCCACAAAAATGCTAAAACATGTTAACATTAAACAATTTTTTGAAGACTAGCTAGTGCGTACTTGTTACCCCATTTCTCGTGGAGTTCGGAGATTATCTTCTCTTCGTCTGGCGAAATTTTGTCGTGCTTTAAATTCGGACGCAAATAATTCAGCCATCTCAGCCTGCAACTCTTTCCACTCCTCCTTAAACCTGCATAACAGAATATCAAAAATATTTTTATTATTAATACCTCGTTAATTTCGGACAATCCACTAAAAAAGAAAAAAAAAATTATGTACTTAACCTGATAATTTTGCTAATGCGTCCCATCGTCTATCTCCTAAAACGGCCACGGCATTAGATAACAGCTCGTCTTCTTCTTCCACCCACGGCCCTTTTCGCAGCTCGGGTTTTTGCATGATTTTCATAGTAATGCTTGTCTTAATTTGGTAGGTTTATACTTAGGTTTATATAAGCTAGTAAAAGTTGGCAAATGGAGGAGGAAAAAAAGAAACACCATGCAAATAAAGATAAAAGGAGAAAACAAAAATAAACAAGAGAGTGACAAGAACTCTTTACATAAGCTTATTATATGGTGGGATGTTGTGGGGACTCCACCACTAGATGCTTAAATTAATTGAATGATTATAAAATGTGATATTGAGCTTTTTATTAGCTATTGTATCTCATTAGATAAGCTTTAATTTTGGGAAAAATAATTTGTGAATGTGATGTATCAAACTCAGAACTTCTCCTTAAAAGTTCAAGCCATTATCATCATGTACTAATGAAATTCTTAGGGCACTATCAAATAATATCTCATCTCATTATTTTCACCATTGTCCTTAACTAACTCATCACTTATTACTTATTACTTATTAGTCATTCCCATCCTCAATTAGTTTGTGGCTAAACTAAATTGTCTATCATCCTTCATTAATAATAAGAAAAGAAAAAAAAATAATATTAAATATAGAATTGAGCCTCACCTATAAGACAACAAAATATATCAAACAATGTTTTTCATGGTGGAAAGTAAGATACAAATCATGTGATGTAATGTAAGTGGGCGTGTGTATGTGATTAAGACATTAAGTGGGGGACAATGAAGACTTTCTAGATAACAAAATATTACAGGATAATATACTCCATTTGTGTTTTTCTGTACATTTTTCAGCCCTTTTTACCTCAACAACTCTTAGGGTTAAAATAGAGTTCAAATTGTAGCTTTGAAAATAGGTTAGGGATGTAAATGAGTTATACTAATACCAATTAAACTGACTCAACGGTCTTTCATAATATTATATTTTGAGCTTGCTTGATTTTTTACTTGAGAAATTTTTATTATTTAAGTGCTTGATTTTTTACTTGAAGTTATGTTCTGCGTTGAGTATTTCAAGTTCGAACTAATACTTGTTTAATAAATGAATAAGTTCAGCTAGTTTAATAAACGATAAAAGATTGACTAGATGAATCTAAAACCCAAACAATAAATGGAATTATGTTCATTCAAGAACCAGTTTTGCTTGTTTCATTCAAGACCTATAAAAACAAAAACAAAAACAAAAACAAAAAAATAAACAATTAAGTTTCTAGACCCGGCTCATTTCAACGAAAGAGCTCGATTGGCCATTGGGAATTCACTCTTTTAAGTAAGCAAAGGACTCGACCTCGAGCTTTCTCAATTCCAATTGCAACTCAAAATAGTGATCAACAATGCAAATTGAATATCATATTTCAAGAATAGTATTTTTTTTCTATAATAAGAATACATCTATTAATATATAAAGAGGCAATGATATTTACTTGAAATAACAATTAAAAATCAACAAAAAAAAAATTTAGTTTCCCGCCTAAAGTATTTACTATATTGAGTAATATTTTTGGCGAAAATTTAAAAAATCCCGCCTAAATTAATATACAAAATCATTTTGGTCAAATATTGCAGTTATTACCTTTAATAGTTGCATGATTTAAATTTGGAATATAATATATTGACAAAAGTTGTAGCTACTATTTTTATTAGTTGCATGGTTTAAATTTGATATATAATATATTAAAAAAATAAAAAGTTTTTTATTTGAAATTTCAAATAAAAAAATAATTATTCATAACTTGCAGGTCAATATTAACTTGGACGTAAACGAAATAGTCAATTATTTATAGTTTAATAAATTACTCAATAACTTATGGGTCAATACTAACTTTGACGTAAACGAAATAGTCAATTATTTATAATTTAATAAATTACTCAACTACTTAATTTTTTTTATTTAAATAGTTTATACAAAAAAAAATTATTTTAAGTAATGAAACAATTTAAATTTTATATTTATACTTATTATTCACATAGGTGTTAAATATATGATAACATTTTACCAAAATAACTATTTTATGGAATCAAATTATAGTTAAATCGAATTTCTGAATAATAATTTTGAAATGATACTTATTCTGAAACGAATATAATTTAATTTATTATCAGTTTTGTGCACCACACAGGTTGTGTACTAATTTTAAATAAATGTTTTTATGTATTTTTATACAATTTAAACTTTATATAGCATTTTCAATAAATTAGTATAGGTAATTTATTACATATTGATTTCATATTTTTGATTTATAAATATTACTTAATAAGAATTATTAATTTATAAATATTAATGAATATCTTTTACCCGTGCACTGCACGGTACTCATACTAGTTCATATAGTAAACTGTCACTCTTATATGACAGAAAGAAAAAAAATGAGGGAAAAATGGAAAATTTATTTAGCAGTTCTGACTGAACTCTTGAATATACAAACTCAGTTGTTTGTCTCAGCAAGTACTTTTGGACGCAGAGTGAAAATAGCACACAACAAGAAAATGATGAAATTTCAACAAAAATATATTTTAATGAAATTTCAATAGAATTTCCAATACAATTATTTTCATTGGAATTTTCCAACATATTCCAACAAAAAGTTCAACGAAAAAAAACAAAAGCATCGAGCACAAACAACATTAAAAAAAACCCCCAAAAACGATAAATCGACTACATTTCTTCATATTGAATGTTTAAGGGTTCCTTTATATTGCATGTTTGAGGGCTGCAAAAGATGTAGCAGTAGCAGAATATTAGGAAAAATACTTCCTTAAGGCCAAACCCACACCCCCCTGCACTTCACTACTTTACATACAACTCTATCAGTTCAAATCAAAGACTCAGAGTATTTCACATGACTGTTGTCATTCCAAGATTAAACACTACCCTACAGAACTAAGCAACCTTTTCTTCATAATCACATTTCATAAGCCACTCATCATCATGAATCTCTAGGAGGTACAAAAGAAAAACTAAGACCTTTAAGAGAAGTAGAATATACAGAGGAAGTCCGATGTAAAGCGAACAACCGAGCACAAATAGATTATTATTACTGAAGCTATTAGTCCCACCCCATTAACATCTTCCAAACAGTCTCCTCTATCCTTTTCCTCGAAACTTTGCTATAGTCGCCTTCATCGAGTAGAACTCGGTAAAGCTCCCATTCCCTATCTCCAATCATGTACCTCCCGATTTCAGCCTGCGAAATCATGTACTAGTTTGTTTATGTAAATGCTTGGATATAAAATATTTTAATTTTGTCTGAATTTTTTGGTTTAGTATGGTTAATTTTAAAAAAAGTGGTATGGTTAGTTATTAGTGAGATTTTGAATTTATATTAAGATAATTAAAATTGATGTGATAAAACAGTAGGAGAAAGATGATGTGAAGTGATTGTTAGTTAAAATTATGTGAGCGGATGATTAGTTAATTAAAGTTGAGGTAATTTGTAAGAATGATTGAGTGATATTATTTAATTATATTGATAATAATATTGAGGATAGTAAGGTTGAGTTAAAGTTGAATTAGATTGGAGTTAACAAAAAAGTGATTAGGGCAATATCATAAAAAAAAAGGGTGTTTTCGCAAAAGTTTGGGAGAAGATTATGTTTTCGCAACACATTACTAACCGAAAATATCTGTTGATCAAGCATCTTAAGCGCGAGGGTAATATCGTAAAAAACCAGGGGACGGCCCTCTCCCGACAGCTCCACGGGATTCACAACTAATAACTCGGTATCGGGCCCACGGCCCGTCAACGACACAATAAACGGACGATCGATTTCCATCTGAAGGCGGCATTTCAAAGCATCCTGCTTGGCGGGGTCCACGATCTTCTTCCCATCCGATTGCATGATGAAAAGGTCCATCTCGCAATAATAATCCCTTTTTTTCCCCCCCTTAGTCGTGAAACGCCCATAAGAAATCTGAATGTTATAATCCTTTAAAGTCCGCATGACATCGTAAAGGAGGCCCTTGTTATGGGCCCGGCAAGCAATCTGGACCAGCGTGTGAGACGGGCTCAGCAGGTTGTCCATCGTTATGGATGATGATGATGGGCCATCGTTAGGCCCACCGAACGCGTCTGGGCCGAAAGTGGCATCCGAAAGAAAGAAGGGCTGTTGGGAGCAAGTGGTGATTTCGGGCCCCACCAATTCTATGTCGCAGGTGATGAAAGCGGGCCCAAGAACGGCTCTTAAGTGGTCATAAGTGTCTTCCTTTCTCTGCTTTGTGTGTAAAAGTTCCCTTCAAGGCCAGATAAAATATATTTTACACTAGGATTTCATGAAATATATGTGTATATATATAGGCTATTTTCCCTTTTTTGGTAGCTTTTTTGTGCTGGAACTAAGAGGTAGTGTTTGCAAGATTGAGATTTATACTCTCATCAAAAAGAGTAAGAAAAAAAAAAATATATATATATATATATATATATATATGGGATAGTGATCATTATTTCACTCCAATGCTTTTCATATTTCTTGCTGAGCTTAAACCAAAAGTGAGAAGTATATCAGATGGATGTTAATGGATGAATATGAAGTTCCCTAACATGTGGAGTATGATTTTAGGAGTAAATTCAGATTGACAAACGTAAATTGAAATCGATACTCTAAAATTTCAATAAAATATGAAAGAATGTTAAACCTCGTATCGTTTATGAAGAAAAGATCCATGACTTTCCCATCTGGAGTGGTTGATACCTTGACTCTCTTTATAGTCAGCTCAAGCTCACAAAGGACCTTAGTCACATCTGCCAAAAAAATAAAAATCAAAAGATCTGCATATTTCAGCACGGATCTAAACCCACTAACATCCTCTTGGATGACATACAACAAATATGGCTGAACTAAAGGGCAGAAATTATATTTTTAATATAGCAAGAATGCTGAAAGAAATTAGAAGCAAATATAAATCCAGCAGCATCACTTAGCTTTAGAATGTTCAAAAGCCTAGGAATATCAACTCAACAAGCAGCAACAATCAAAAACATATTCAGCTTCTTATCCTCCGGATTATATAATCAGCTGTACTATGACAAATGATACAATCTGTTGTGACTGCACAACACAGGATGAATGCTTTTGATTTCTGATCTACTTCCCAAGTCCATTTTACAAACAAACGAGCACTCTCTAATCTTTTTCCTTTTCTATTTTTCAAAAATCAGCTTCTATTTACGAACCCAACAACTTACTACTAGCTTCTACACATTACAATTTACAAACCAAAACTAAAAGGAAAAGAAAAAATCACCACTCCTTCTGAAAGCATGACTTTCTTCAAAACGAACACTGTAAATTTACTAAAATGACAGGGTCGATAACCAGCAGTATCACCAAAGTACTAACAATATACAGTTCACTTCTTCTGGATATAGAATTTACCGTGCAAAAGGCCTTTCCTGTCATGGGAGCATAATTTCAAGAGGAAAACATTCGGAGGCTTTGGGGGGCACGACTCATCCCTACCGTACAAGATTCCAGAAGCAAAAGAACAACTCGGGCATGCCTCCATCAATCTCTTTTTCAGTAAACTCCATCGAGTGCCCGGCTTGCATTGAACCCAGAACACTATGTAGCACCATTTCCCATCAGTTGACACATCTTCAGCCAATGCAAATAACAGAAAAATAACAATAATTAACTACAAAACTCGCCATTTTTGTCATATAACAAGTTGAAGAACGAATAATCTAAGAAAGAAAACAAGAATATGTGCTAATCACAATAGTCTTATGACTCTTATCCACCAACCAACACACAATTATGCAACTGATTTTCAGATCTCTACAGCAAATTATAAGCACATAAACACATTATATTTATCCTCAAAGCCCGTGTCATCCTTACGCAACAAATCCCACAAATTTGCCTAGGAGAAGGGCAAAATCAGAAAAATAACAGAGAGAAAAAGTTAAAAAAGCGTACCAGTTCTGACAAGGGTGAGGCCGAAGCACATAATTATGCGGCAAAGATCACAACATAAGCCAGTCTTGTCTGGACAATTTACCGTTATTACACTCGGCTCCTCGCCTCTCTCAGATTGCCTAATTATAACAGCATCGTCATACAGTAAACCCATCTCGTTCTTTTACCAATTTTCCTCTTTCCTTCAAATTTCGAACAACAATATTGAATCTTTATCTACGAATAAACAATAATAAAGCAAAAGGGCCAACTAGGTATCTCGGAGAAGCTCTCTGCAACAACATACATGAAAAAATCCCTCAAAAAGCACTCTCTGGTAGAAATATTTGGAGGTAGGAGCAAATGTGTCGCTGACAAAATGAGTGGTGGATTAAACATAGCTGTGTTAATATGTACTAGTATTCGTCCCTATAGAGACAAATAAAAACTTATATATTATATGTATATATATATATAATATTTAAAATTTTAAATTAGAAAGTGGATGTATTACATTTTAAAATTATTGACTATATATAAATGTACGGTATAAATATAAATTATTTAACTTGTGTGTGAATCTTTATATTGATGACATAAATTTTAATGGACAATGAAATTTTGTAACTTAGAGGGACCATACAATTAATTAGTTATAAAAGTATTAAAATTATTTTTATTATTGTTATAGTAATTACTTATGTAATTTTAAGGAGTTTAATTATGACATACACATCAATTAACTAATATTAGATAAAAATTGATTAATAAAATGAAGAATATATATTTATTGTAGAATAAGTATCTTAAAGAAAAAAAAAATCAATACAAATTTTTATAAGTATGTACCTTTCATATACTATTTAATGTAAATTTATAATTAGTTAGTATTAGTAATAATTATTATATAATAAATTAGTTTAAATTATTATTATACTTTATTAATGTGTAATGTACCTGCTCCACATTAATTGAAAAAAATAGCGAGAAACTATAGAGGTTTTATTTATTGTTCTTCCAGAAATTAATATATATATATATATATATGAAAAAAACTGTTGTTTTTTAAAATAAAATAATAATAATAATAATAAAAATAAAATAAACAAAAAATGTCTTGTTGCTTTGAAAAGTGTCTGCACCTTTTTTATGGAAATCATTTTAGGTTGGTGAGCCGTGAAAGTTGAAAGGTCCAGAAGGCGGGGTTTGGACCGGCTGTGGTGCGGTGCACCGTATGTCCATCAGGAACGGATCTAGTAAATATAATGAGCGCAGGCCTATTTACTTAATGAAAAATATAAGATATTATAACGAAAGTGCAAATACAAAACATAACTTCATAGTCCTTATTTACGAGTTCTCGTGGTCGGATGTCGCTCTATAATAATATCCTTATCAATTTTTAGGAAGATTTATTTTTCTCAATCATCATTAAACTCCCGATCGTATTTTCTTTATGTTCAGTGATACCAAAATTTTTCTCGAATCTATTTCGATTCAAAGTATCTCCTATTGAGACATTTTCACAACTACTTTTTTGACGGGCCTTTTCTAAAAACATCATGATACACAAAGGTAATATTATAAATTTACAATGAAATTCTCTATTTCGACATATTACACTTTAAAGAGCTATATAAACACTTAAAAAGGGCTTGAATTTGCAATTCCTACATAATGAAATATATATACCAGTATCTAAAACAATAATGAAATGTAACTTTTACCTCCACAAAATAAATAAATAAATAAATAAATAGCATGAGGGATTTCGTTATCTTGCAAGTCGCCTTCTCGAACAGTTGGACCGAAAATTAACAAATTCTTTAAATTCTTTCTCTCTTTTCCCTCTTTCCCCATCTTTTTATAACCTTTGTATTCCGTCCATGTGAGTCTCTGTAGTATTATATTAACTTTGTTTATTGCACTGTTCTAAATATCGGCCTACGCGGCCGCCTAGGCGCTAGGCGGTGCCCGCGCGCCTCCGATTTGTACAAATCGGCAAAAAAAATCGACCAGGCGGCTAGGCAGGCCTAGGCGGCCCTAGGCGCTCCTAGGCGGCCTTGGCGGGCTCGACGGCCAGGCGGTTAGGCGGCGTCTAGGTGGGCGTAGGCGGACTTAGGCGCTCCTCGGCGGCCTCGGCGGCAATTTTTTAATTTTTTTTAATTTTTTTTATTTTTTTAAATACTAATTACATTATTTTGTTCTCATGTTTTCTTTAATATATATTAATATTATTATTTGGACTTTAGTGTGTGAATTTGTTATATGTTGAGATAATTTTATTTTATAGGTAGTTAAATAAATAAAAAATAAGGTATTTACTATTGATTTCTGGGCCCCGACTAGGCGCCGCCTAGGCCCCGACTAGGCGCTAGGCACTGGTCGAGCGCCTAACGGGCGCCTAGCGACTTTTAGAACACTGGTTTATTGGGCTCATAATTAATATTTTTTAATTTAAAAAATTATGGACTAATACTAAGGTTTTTTTTTTCTTTTTCACTGTGGGTCTAGGCCCACACTGGTTCTAATGAAGCTACGCCCATGATGTCCATAGTTAGCGTCTGAGGATTTAAAAGTGTAAACGAGTCAACTCGAACTCATGTTTTGAAATTGGAGTTTGGGCTTCAGTTTTAATCAAATTGAGTCGAACTCGTTATTAAATATTAGCGATTCAAATTCAAATTTAAACATTAACAAATCGAGGTAAAAATAAAATTAATAAATTACATAAAATCCTCTAATCTCGAACTTTGGCAAAGTTGAGTTGCGTCGAACTCCAGAGCTCGGACATTTTTTTATGAATATTAAGATTATAAAAATATAAGTTTTACTGAATACTGCCAAATTTTATAGTACGCTTAATGCACAAAATAAGGATAATAATTAGTAGTTTTCATATTATGACATTTCATGAGATTCATGATGTATATGTAGTGCTTTTCAATTTTTTATTTTTTTTATTTTTTTTATTTTTTTATATGTTGGTTATCAAGTAGTTTCTAGATAACCACTAATTTTATAATTTGGCTGCTTTTATCAAAAGTTGTCACGAACACAAAATTTGTGAAATTGTACATGATAATTATTATGTGATTGCAGCATAAGTTATGAACTTCATAGCTGAAATGTAAGTTCAGAGTTATTCGGAAGACATTATCATGTTTGCAGTAAGTTCAGCTATCAATATGTAGTACAACAATAATCATTTTTAAGAATACTCTGGGCTTCTCTAATCATTAATTTCATAAGAATATTCTCGGCTTCTCTAATCATTTCCTGGATGTTTGGGCACTTGATACCAAAGCATGTTTGTTTAGAATTTTTTAAAAAAATTTCAAACATTTTAATTCAATCACTATTTTTTAACTCAACTCCACTATGATCGATATAATTAAATAATATCAATCAATCATTCATATATACACACCCCAACAACCTTAATTCACTATTTATCCACTCACATTATTTTTACTAACTATCACTTTAAATCATCTCTCTCATATTTTTACATCAAATCATTTTTAATTATTTTATTTTAAATATTATTTCAATATACCCACTAACAACTAATCATATCACCTTTTTCAAAATTAACCAAACAAAACCAAAAAATCCAAACAAAATAAAAAATTTCTAAAAACAAACATGCTCGGGTTCAATTTGATATGAATTCATAAGCAAAATATAATTATGTAACTAGTAGAGGAAAGTGTTAAAAACATGGGATAAATGAATAATGTAAAAGATGTTATTAGACATAGTCACATAAGATACCAAATCAATAATTATAGTTGTTGTGATAGTTAATATGATTGTATTAATACATTTAGCCTAATAAAAACCTATGATTAACTAGAGAATATAAATTTTCATATGAAAATGTCATAGTTAGTAAAATATCATAAATAAAAAATATAACATTTCATAATACAAGCATGTTATTGAAAAAGTAATAATAACTATTGATATATTTAACACTGAGCTCTGTCTCTCTAGTGCTTATCATATTCGAGCTCGAGTAGTGCTTATCATATTCGAGCTCGAGCTAGTTTATCAAGTGAGTCCGACCTTAACCTCACAACTTAAACTTAGCTAAGAGTCATAAAATACGTTAAAATTCTATTCTCGTTTCTCGAGCTTAACAAGTCTTAACAAGTCGATCTCACTCAACTCGTTAACTAACCGAGTTCGAGCACAACTTTTTTTTTTTTTTATTTCCNATGGTTTATGCATGAATGTACAAATTGATAAAAAAATAAAAAATAAAAAAAAAAATCTTCTAAGTCATGTTTATTCCCTATTCATGTGCATATAAAATACATTTCATGCCAAGACAAACATGTGATATATATTTATGTGCATTGTTACTTCAAGGAAGCTGCCTTTGCAAAGACAAAGATAATATTAAACCACAACTAGTTCATCTCATGCATATGTACATTGAAATATAAGAAAAGCAATTGTTGTCACAAGTCAATTGTGGAATCACAATATCACTAAAATCAGCAGCCACAAGACACTTACTTTTGTCCCAACAATCATACACATAATTTTATAATTTTATTCAGAAAAATAGGTGCAATGGGATCTTGTCATGTTTGACGTTTGGACTTTGGATAGAGTTTGGAATATTAAAAAGAAAGGGAAGAATATTCAACTTGCTCTTTAAAATATGGGACCAACTCCAATGTCCCTTTGTGCCCAATATACGCTTTTGTTTTCACCAAGGGTGAGTGCGTAAAAACGTGTTTCAGTTTTCAAGGCCTACACATTTCAGTGAGTGAGTAGGAATTAGGCCAAAAGTTTTAGGGCATGCTTGTTTATCAAATATTTTACTCAAAATGAAATATTTTAATTAATTAGAGTTAAATTTAAAAAAGGTGGTATGGTTAGTTGTTAGTGGAATTTTAATAATGTATTAAAATAATAGTTAAAATAAAATGATTATTATTGATTTGATGTAAAAGTAAGAGATAAATGATTGAAAATGATTTGTAGTTAAAATTATATGAGTGGATGAATAATGAATTAAAGTTGATGTGATATGTAAAAATGATTGGTTTATATTATTTAATTATATAAATAATATTAAAGATAGTGCAGTTAAGTTAAAGTTGAGTTAGAATTTGAATAAAAATATTTTGTGAGCAAAATATTTTATAAACAAGCATGCCCTTAGTTATTTACATCTATATTATTGAAAAACCACTTCAAATTAAAAATAATTTTTAACAAAATTTTTTCGTGAAATAATCATTATATTTATTTAAAACTTTTTTTTCTATTAAAAATTGAGCATTTTTGGATAAAAGATAACCTTTAATTTTTTAGGTATGGATAAATTGAAATATACGTATAATTACATCCATATTGACATAGTCAAATTGTGGATTAACTTATTATAGATCAATTAT